ACACACACACACACACACACACACACACACACACACACACACACACACACACACACACACACACACACACACACACAAACACACACACATACACAGAGGCACACCCCTTTGCAAGCTCTCGAATTCGATACAAATGGCCGTCTTTCTGAATTCCATACAACTGGGCGTCTTTCTGATCCATAGACGAGGACGCACATGGTCGATGCACATGTTGTACGGAGTATCTTTTGACACGCGGCCTACCGATTGTCATCATCTTCATCTGTGCATACACGTGTCCTGCTGCTTATCGTCTGCAGACACGCGTCATTCTGGTTAGTGTCTGCACACGCGCCTCCGAGTCATACGCTTACCATCTGTGCATACACGTGTCGTGCTGCTTATCATCTGTGGATACACGTGTCCTGCTGCTTATCATCTGTGCATACACGTGTCCTGCTGCTTATCATCCGTGCATACACGTGTCCTGCTGCTTATCTATAGATTATCCATCTTCTGCACACATGGTGTATAACGATCTTCTGCACATACACGCCCCCTACTGATTATCTTCTGCTCACACGTGCCCGAACTGTTATCTCTGCATACACTTGTCCTACTGCCGTGCGCGCACACGTGGCCTATCTTCTGCACACACGGGACCCGCCATGTCTGTCTTGCACACACACACACACACAGAGAGAGAGAGAGAGAGAGAGAGAGAGAGAGAGAGAGAGAGAGAGAGAGAGAGAGATGGCGTGCTGAGTGCCTCGTGGCAAGTTGTTGTGTGCCACTCTTGTTTTGTTCAGTTGTCTTTTTCTCCTTAATCAGGGTTGGCGTCTTGTTCTTTGGTTTCTTTTTTTACCTCGTTTTCTTTTTTTTCCCCTCGTTTTCTTTTTTTTCCCCTCTTGTTTGTTTTTTGTTGGGAAGAAGGGAGAGCGATGGGGAGGGAGGCGGCCCACACGATCGGTGTCACGTGGCACGCTTCTAGGGCCCATTGTCCTTTTTCATTGTTTTTTTTGGTGCCTCGTTTCCTTTTGCTGTAGGCTCTTCGTCTCTGTTGCCGTTGTAGTACTCCTCCTCGTTGACAACCAACTTCATTGTCTGCTTTTTTTTTTTTTTTTTTTTTTTTCCATTAGCGTAATAAGTAGTGACCTTTCTCTAACGTATTGCCTGAGGGCATATTCACACAAAGACTTTCTTTTCCTTATTAATGGGCGTAAATTCAGTCAGATTCATACAGGTCTGGGGCCGTAAATGCAGTCAGATTCATACAGGTCTGGGGCCGTAAATGCAGTCAGATACATTTAATAGTATTTTATACAGTGCTAGTTAGTGTGAGTGCGCCCTGAGATTAAGTACGTTAGTTGTCGATTAAGGCGGGAAAGTTTGACAGGATAGAAGCCCGCAGGTGAAAAGAACCTAGACTAGGCTACCAGAGTGTGCTTCGACAGAACAAGGATTTGCTATAAAAAAAAAAAGAGATGATCTTCATAAATTAGCTGTGAATCAAATCGTAGCTTTTCTCATTACCGTTGCCCGGGGCAAGCTGCCCGGCCGGGCAAAAAAAAAAAACTCAAAAAAAAAAAAAAGTTTTATTTTTTTATTTTAAATTTGGTAAAGAATTTCGATGTGACCCTGAGGCAAACGTTGTTCAGTTTATTTTTGTGCATCACATAGTTTTTCTTTCAGATTTTTTTTTTTTTTTTTTTTCCCTGGACCCTTCGCTGGTCCTCGCACGGCCTGGCCGCCCGGTGAAAGAAGGTGACCCGGGCATCCCAGCTGGCAGCCCAGCACCACTTGCCCCTCTCGTTCGATGATTTTTCCAATCGAGCAGCACATCCTCAGGGTAGATGTCTTTTTTTTTTTTTTTTTTTTTTTGCCTTCTGTCAGGGTAGATGTTGAACATCAACTGAAGTTCAAATTGTGCCTGCTTACTCTAGTCGCTGGCTTTGAAATGAGCTTTTTTCAGATAAGGTAAATCCTGTTCCTTCTCCAAAAAAAATAAAATAAAAAAAATCCTGTTCCTTCTGAGCATCAAGAGGTTCCTACATAATAGTCTAATATAGATACGTGGAATTCATCATCTATGCGGCCTTCACCATTATATCAATCTAATCTATTTCGGCCGCCGCGGTGGGTGCCGAAGGGTGTCTCCAACATTTTTTGTTGTCCTCATAATAATTTGTACTGTAAACACAGCCCTCCCAATCAATCACCCAGATATTCGTTGTCGATGTGTCCCTTTTGTGCGCAAGGACGCTATCAGGAGAGCATGATGGCGCGAACTGTGATGAACGTCCTGCTGTTTTTTTTTTTGACATGTGGACAGCAGCATGTCCGTTGTCAGGACTGTGTAGATGGGCTGGGATGGGATGGGATGGGATGGGATGGGATGGGCCGTGCTAGGTAGCCGGCCTGCTGAATGGTGAATAGAATCAGCATGTCCTTTCTCAGGACTG